AAAAAAAAAAAAGGAAAAAAAAAAAAAAAAAAAAAAAAAGAAAAGTTTTTAAAAACTTTCATTTAGTGAAAAATGATTCACACAGCACCTGTCCTCAGGGTTGTTTTAAGGGCTGAACAGGATGATCACATATAGTACACACCCACCATGTGAGAGACCCTTTCAAAAAAAATCTCCTGTATTTTTCTCTCACGCACTTCCTTTCTTTAGGGAGAGCTAAGTTTATGCCTTCTGCCTGAGAAATGGTATTTTCTCCTTGTTTTTTTTGGGACACTATTTTAAAAGCTGTACATGCAGAGCCTACCTGGAGCTCTCAAAAACCTTGCACAGGTAGGTATGTTAATGATCCCCATTTAACAACAAGGAAACTGAGGCTCAGACTGGCCAAGGTCCTCACATTGCAGATCGCTGCTGGGCCCCAGCTGACTCCCAGGACTCACAGAGCACTCAGAGCACAGAAGGGAGCGTGCGAAGTCACCCGCTAGTCCCCTCTGTCCAGCAGCCCCCTCCCAGCAGCCGCCCTGGCTGGCAGTGCAGAAGCTGCCCGAGACCCGACCCAACCTGCTGACAGGGCTTCTCCCTATGCAGCAGAAGTACCATTTCTGAATGTCAGAATTTTTTTAAAGCATTTGTCAGGTGAATCCCAGGGAATTACGCTGGGTGCGGAAAAAAGCTCATCTCAGAAGGCTACGTCCTCTAAGATTCCACTTATGTAACATTTTTGTTATATAGATTTTAGAGATGGAGGACAGCTGGGGGGTTGAAAGGAACTGGGGTTGAGGCAGGGTGTGCGGTGGGTGTGGGTACCTAAGGTCAAGGCAGGGACCTTGTGGTACTAAAGCCAGCCGGTATCTTGACTGTGGTGGACACACGAGTCTCCATGGTGGGAAAGTTTGAAAATACACACACAAATGGGTACAACACTAGGGAGTCTGAAAGACCAGTGGGACACCTGACTGTCAACATCCTGGCTGTGATACAGATGTTACTGTGGGTGTAGAGTACCCAGGATCTCTCTGTATCACTTCTTATGAATGTGTGTCAATCTACAGTGATCTCAACGACAATTTCAAGTACTGGCTGGTTAGCTCAGTTGGTTAGAGCATGGTTCTGATAACACCAAGTTCCAGGGTTTGTTCCCTGCACTTACTGAGCAGCCATCAAAAAAAAAAAAAAATTCAATTAATACAGAAAAACACCCAGGGAGCTCCGGGAAGTCAGTCACTCACCCTAGAAATGGGCTGACGAGCTGGAGGAGCTCAGAGCCAGACACGAGCTCCTGGTTGAAGAGCGCGATGCAGCGGAGGAAGTTCTCATACACCTCCTGGCTTTTCAGCACCCTGCGGACCTGTGGAGAGAGCTCGTCAGGGGCCCACTGAGAACGCCCACTCCTCAGCCCCCAGGCCAGTTCAGATATTAGGTGCACACACGAGTCGTCAACACGGCGTGCTCTAAAGGAACCAGCTGTGGGCCGTAAGCAAACGCCACCCCTGCAGCAATCCGCAGCTTGGGCTCTGACGACACGTGCATGCAGCCATCTCAACTGCTCTGCCAGAAAAAGCTGCACAGCTAAGGGTGGCAGATGTGTATGTCCTTGAACCCTGCTCGAACCCCATGCTCTGCCTTTCCAGCCTGCTCTGCTTCCTCCTGTCCGCCCACCATACCACACAACCACATGCTCTCTGCTCCGTGATGGCCCACACTCCCTTCTGTGGTGACAGCTGGGGGCTAGCCTTTCCAGCTCCTTTCCCAGTAGCCCCATCCTGCAGCTCTGAGCTGAGCAGGGCCCACCTTGGTAGGGGCAGGCCCAGGGAGCATCAGCCCAGCCAGCCGATTGAGGCATCCCCAGGACAGAAGCCAAAGGCCCCCCTCACCTTGTCAAAGAAGGAGAACTCCTGCAGGGTGCCGTACTTCCCCACGGCTGCGATGGACAGGTCTTTGGTACCACGGAGTTTCATCTTCTTCTGCAGAGAGAAATTCTGTGTGGTTAACGTTCTGGGAGTCCCATGGGTGGCCCCCCATCCATATCAGTCACAGTCATAACGATGCTACACTGAGCTCTCCTGATGGAACTGCCAATGAGATGACAGGCAGGAACCTCCCAGTCACCCAAGACCCCCAAGATGACGCCTCCGGGACAACTTGTGCATTGGTGTGGTACTCCCTGTCCCCCATGTGAAGCAGGGGCATGTTTGTTTAGGGAGGTCCCCCAGCCTCTGTGACCTAGGGAGGGGTGAAGGCCACACAACCATCCCTGCCAATCTGGGATCTAAATCTCAGCAGTTTCGGGCTTTCGGTAACAGGCAAAAACACCACAAAGTCAGAACGGCGAAGGGGGCGCACCACCGGATACGATGACATCAGAAACCTTTCCCACTGCCGTTTTGTCCTGCAGGCCGAGACGGTGACAAGAAGGGGACAGGAAGGGGCCAGCACTGGGAGGACCCTGGAGGAACCAGGTTTTAAATCTCTGTGAAGACATTAGTCTTTAAGCTGGACTCGGCCCTGAACTTGGCTGTTACATCTGTGCCATGCAGGATGTTACTACACAGCCAAAACCACCTCCAGAGTACCTGAAGAACGGTGGGGACATGTTGGGAGGACACAGGAGCCAGCCTAGAGGAGCCTACTAGCCACATCTGGGACAGTTTGGGCCTCAAGATGAACAATGACAGTGAGGGATTACAACCTGGAGTCATTGATATACGTAACAAAATAAACAGGGAAGAAGAGAGTTCCTCCTTATAGTAGAGAGCCAACTAGTAAATGCACAAGGAATGACGGAATTAAAAAACCACCATCAAGGGTGATGAGCAGGACAGGGCCTGTATCTCTGCCCCTCTCAACCCTTAGTTGTGCAGTGACCGACCTGCCCAATTGTACATAACGGCCCTGCCCAAGGGTCCTGATGGGGAAAAGGAACAGACTGAACAGTACAACCCATTTCTTCCAACCTCGGAAGGGGGTAACAGTCTTCCTCTCCCTCCTTCTCACAATGATCTTGTGAGACATGGAAGAGAGGTGAATGGCCACTGCAGAGGGGAGCCGACATCCCAAGGTCCCACTGCTGGTGCCTTCGAGATAGAACAGGGTTCAGCCGTGGCCCCTGCCCTGGGCCTGTTGCTCAGGCCTCTGCGCTTTGCTCCCTGGCCACCTACAGGGAAGGCCAGGTTGGTGGATGTCCACACACATGGCTGTCGACACTCATGGCTGACAGTCACCTTGGCTGGCACAGACACAGGGCGGAGCAGCGAAGGCCGGGAGCGCTTTTTGCTGTGTTCCAGACTCTTCTCATGCTCATTCTTCTGAACGCTGTTCATTTCGCACGGCCCATTGCCTGTGAACTGAGGACACAAACACAGTAGGTGGTTAGAGCTGGAGAAACATGACCGGTCCATCAAGGCTGGTTCTTTGACGTGGGCCAGGGGCTCTGTCCATGTACAAGGTGACTCCAGTGAGATGTTCAGATCTACTGGGGAAGAGAACCAGGTACCGAGATAATCGCGGACTTAACTTATAGCTGGGAGATGGCTTGCATCAGGCCACAATGGATGAAGGAGGGAGAGAGAGGGGCCGGGGAGGCTTAGGAGGGAAGACACCTGAGTTGGGTCTTCCATCGGGGTGTCTAACCACATGCATATCAGCGCCACAGAAATGCAAAGCATTTTGGGCAGAGGGATGGGCAGTATGCACAACTAGCAGCAAGAGGGAGTGGCTGATGTTCGCCAGGCCACTGGTGGAGGACCTTGGAGCCAGTCTTTGAATTCTTTTCTATGAGTGACAAATTACATCTTGGGGGTGACGTTATCACTCGCTTTGGGGGCTTGTAGCTGGCTCGGGGCCCACCTCCCAGGCTCTACGCCAGCCATCAACTAAGAGGCCAGGAATACCCACCCCAAGCAGGGTGTCTACAGGGTGCCGGTGATATTTACGAAGAATGAAGAACGGTCTGGAACAATCTATCCAAGATTTGTATCTGTATGCATGTACCAGAAAGCCAGAGCAGGGAAGGGAAAGGCAGACAGACCAAAGCTGTTCTGCAGAACATGGGCAGGGCCGGAGAGGCTCTGCAGTGTTTGGAGCCACTGCAATCATCCCTACCACATTCCCCATTCCCACACCACCACGGGACCTGGACACAGAGACCCCACACAAAGGGCATGTTGTCAGCCCAAAGCATGGGCAAGATGAACCAGCCCTGGTGCATCTGAACAAAACAGCCAGCTGCCATCAGATACAGTGAGCTGGTTCTGGTTAGCTGTGACAGACAGACATGCCTGATACATGAAGCAAAAAGGAAAAAACAAAACCCAAAAAACCCAAAAAACGCAAAGGGCAGAAGAAACAGGACACCATTTGTTACTGTTTTTTAAGGATAAGCATTCGTTTGTACATGCAGAGGAAATTTCTGGAAAGATATACAAGATGCATGTAAGTGCTTATCTCTGAGAAATGCCTGAGAATGGAGTCAAAGGGGCAGATTTACTTTTCACATTTGATGCCCTCACTAATGCTTGGACGATTTTTACAATAATAATAAAGTACCACAGGCAAGACTTGTCCCTTGGGAAATTAAATCCATTTGGGGAATAATTATCTGAAGAGTCAAAGTTATTCTGAGAACCACAGGTGGAGAAATTGGCATCCACTTTACAATCTCCACTAGTATTTCTTTTTGTAGATCCCGCAATAGGTACAAATACTGACTCCTAAAAGAGGCAGTTGGGTGACAATATGACAAGCTCTGAGTGGGAACTGGGGACCTCAAGGGAAGACCAGCTGCTCGCCCAAGCTGGAGGGCAAGGTCAGTATCACCAATCTTCCTCCACAGTTCATGTGATTCTCACTTTTCAGTTAAATATCCCCATTTGTGAATGATTGAGCTAGAGGACCCCAAAGACCACATGGGCCAGGGGTTGTCAAATTAACCATGCGGGGCCTATTTCTATGAAGTTTTATTGGCACACAGCCACTGCCATTCATTGACATGCGGTCCATGGCTGCTTTCCAGATACTAGGGCAGACGCTGAGTCTTTGCAACAGAGACCAACTGTCCTGCAAAGCCTAAGTATTTACTATCTGGCCCTTTAAGCCAAAGAATCAATTTTAATTAGAACAATGCCAAATTTCACTTTTGGTTTCTTTTTTCCTGTAGTTTCAAAGATGTCCAAAAATTAATATAAAGACTATGAAGGCCTACCTCACTTCATACAACAGATTTTGTAGTGGTGTTAATTTTTTAAAAATTATAATCACCCAATATACACTAAAAAGCTTTTCTGAATTGATAACAAATGCCATTTAAAGAAACTGCTAGCAGGCTCTTTTCTAAGGGAATGCTTATTTTTCTAGGGTGAGCTTTGTCAAGGACCAACTTCGTAAATGCTGAGTTGTGTCCACCAGGGGGTGCTGCGGCCACAGTCATCTGAGGACAGGGGCTCCACTCAATGCCCCCCAAGAGGACCAGTCTTCACAGTGCCTGAAGACTTCCCACCAGGATGAAAACTCATGGGACTAAGGTCACCTTGCTGCAAAACTGCAAAGAATTTGGGTGAGTAGTGCACTCCTGGTTTTATCAGTCACAGTGTCTGCTGTGCACGGCACCCCCAACGCTAGCAGATGGGGCTCCCCAACTGCTGTACTGACCCCAGAGTGGGGTCTCAGAACCAGCTTTGTTAGCACAGTCATACTGGGGTGTTAGAGCCAAAGGCTGAGGGGTGACAAGGCAAGGCAGGAGCCCAGTGCACAATCTCATGCCCTTGCTCCAAGCACCGCACCCACCACGTGTGTCGAGGCAGAACTGGGAGCATCAATCCAGAGCTCCTTGGGGTGTGGAGAAAGGACACGCCCTGAGCCCCAAGCCTTGAGCCCCTTGACCTCCTCGAGGGCAGCAAAAGCTGGCCCTGGATTCAGCCAGGCCTTCACTGAGGCCACGAGGCCAGAATGTCCCTGCCTCTGGTGGCCACCCCTGATCACTCTGCACCATCAGTGATGGCTCCGGGAAGGCCAACCAGGGATACCACGTGCACCCACTTCCATGCAGGGATGGGGTGTTCAGGAGAGGAGCTGCCGACGCTGAGGTCAGAGCTGAGATGTGGGACCTGGATCCAAGAGGATGAGACCCAAAGACAAGCCACCAAGTGTACAATGGGGGTAGACATGGCTTGCTGGCATGGGTGACAGCACTCAGCTCGAGCTGCTGGGGGACTTGGAGGTCCAAAGCCTGCAATCCGGGGCTGTGCCAACACAAGAAGGGTGTGAAGCAGGAGGAGGTGGTGAGACCGCCTGGCCCCAGGGCCAAGGGCAGGAGGGTCTTGGATGAGCAGGAAGGTGGGAGGGATACTGGAGTTTCAAAGAGAAAGGGGAGGATAAAATCGAGTAGATTCTGAACTTGAGAGAGATGCGCAGGCAGACAAAAAGCCAGAAGCGAGAGAGGGGCCCTGAGGTGCAGGCTCAGGTGAGAGGCCCTATTTGGGCACCTTGAAGAGGTGAGCTCCCTATCACCACAGGGATTCCAGACAAGGACTCTGATTGGCCCTCCATCACATACTCCCTGCAGTTCAGGCAGCAAGCCGGCTCCGGGGATACAAGGAGGAGGGGACAAGATGACTAGCCCCCTGAATTTAAGCTGCTTTGCCTGAACAACCGCAGCTGCCCTTTCTGGAGCGCTGAACATGTACCCGGTGCTGTGGGAAGCATCTGAAGGACAAATGGTTCACAGAGTCCCCACATGAACAGGAGGGTCCGTTGTTCCCATGGAAGAGAGAAGGAAACCAGGCCCGGGAGGTGACAAGGCTGGCTCAAGCTGCCTGAAGCGCCAGGGCTGTGCCTTGGGCCCTCAAGGGCACCGAGGCTCCAGGTAGGAGGAAGGTCAGATTCTAGCTCCCAGCCTCAAGCACAGCTCCACGATGAGCACAGGATTCTCTGCCTTTGAGTTGGGAAGTGTTTCCTCATGGCATCCCCGCTCAAGGATGGTGCTCCATGTCCTAGAGATGGTTACACACAGGGACGAGCCCCGGCCCATTGCCCTAGACAGGCTGGAACAGACCTTGGGCCAGGACAAGGGAAGATAGGAAGGGCTGGGGGAAGGCAGGGAGGGAAGGAAAACCCAGGAAAATGCACTGGAAATCTGCCAGAATCAACCAAGGGTCTTGACAACATCCAAACTTGGACACTTGTTACCACCTGAGCCCCTCCCTTCAAGGCCTGCTTCCCCCAGCCCCATCTGTCCCGCCACGTTGTCATTCAGAATGTAGTGGGGGGAGGGGGGCTCTCATGCGATCACACCCCAGGTGGTCATCTGGACAAAGAGGAAGGAAAGAGGACACACTACAATCAACGAACTAGGAATAGAAGGGAGCTTCTTCAGCCTGATAAAGGTCATTTATGACAAGCCCACAGCTCACATCAAGCGCAATGGTGAAACACTGAAAGCTTTTTCTCTATGATCAGGAAAAAAACAAGGATGCCCATGCTCAATGCTTCTATTCAACGGTCATACTGGAAGTCCTAGCCAGAGCAATTAGGCGAGACAAAGAAATAAAAGGCACCCACATTGGAAAGGGAAAAAGGAAAATGCTCTCTACCCACAACTGACATGATGTGATATGTAGAAAACCCTACGGAGTCCACAAAAACTATTAAAGCTGATAAACAAGACCAGCAAAGTTGCAAGACACAAAGATCAACACACAAAAATCAGTGGTGTTTCTATGCACTAGCAATGAACAATCCAAAAATGAAATTAAGAAAACAGTTCCGTTTACCATAGCATCAAAAAGAATGAAATACTTAGGAATAAATTTAACCAAGGAAATGCAAGACCTGTACACTAAAAACTAACGAATGGTGCTGAAAGAAATTTAAGATGACATAAATAAACAGAGAGACGTTTCATGTTCATGGACTGGAAGACTTAAGATCGTTAAAATGGTAATATTCCCCCCAAGAAGATCTAAAGGTTCAATGCGAGTCCTATTGAATTCCCAGGGGCTGTTTTTTGCAGAAATGGAAAAGCTGATCTTTAAATTCATATGGGAATGCGAGGGGCCCCGAATGCCCAAACAATCTCAAAAATGAACAGAGTTGGAGGACTTTAAACTTACTACAAAGCAACAGTAATCAAAACAGTGTTGCAATGGCATAAGGATAAACACAGAGACCAATGGATCACAACTGAGAATTCACAGATAAACCCATACGAGAATAGCTGATGGACTTTCAACAAGGGTGCCAAGACCATTCAATGGGGAAAGAAGAGTTTCTTCAACAAATGGTGCTGGACAACTGTATCTCCATATGCAAAAGAATGAAGTTATATCTGCCCTTCACACCATGTACAGAATTAACTCAAAATGGGTCAATAACCTAAATAAAACCAGAAAAGCTAAAACTATAAAACTGTTAGAAGAAAACATGAGGGAAAACCTTCGTGACTTCGATTTGGCAATGGTTTCTTAGATTTGATGCTAAAAGTGTGAGCACCATAAGAAGAACAGAGAAACTGAACCTCATCAAAATTAAAAGCTTTTGTGCATCCGAGGACACTAACAAGAAAGTGAAAAGACAACCTGCAGAATGGAGGAGGACATCAGTAAATCACACATCTGATAAGGGTCTAGTATCAGCATACATAAAGAATTCCTACAACTCAAAAAACAAAAAGACAAATAAATTAAAAGATTGGCAAAGGACTTAAATAGACATTTCTCCAAAGATATACAAACGGCCAATAAGCACATGAACGGATGCTCAACATCATCAGTAACCAGGGAAATGTAGATCTAAACCACAGTGTGATATAACTTCACAAGACTACAACAGCTATTAAAAAAAAAGAAAAAAAAACACCAAAAAACACAGAAAATAATTGTTGGCCAGGATGTGGACCAATTGGAACGCCAGTGCATTGCTGAAGGAAATGTTAAATGGTGCAGCTACTGTGGAAAACAGTTTTGAGGTTCTTCAAAAAGTTAACCATAGAATGACCATATGATCCAGCAATTCCATTCCTCCTAGGTACCTAACAAAAAGAATTGAAAACAGGTGTTCAAACACAGTTCAATGACAGGGACATGTTCTGTGAGATCAGTAGTTAGGCAATTTTGTCCTTGTGCAAACACCGTGGAGTGTACTTACACAAACCTAGACGGCCATAGCCCATGACACATCTAGGCTACAAGGTGCATGGTATGACCTCTGCAACCTCAGGAGACACCTTTATACATGCAGTCTGTCATCAACCAAAAAATCGTTAAGAAGCACATGACTGTCCCTGCACACGAATGTTCCTGGCAGCACTATTCACAACAGCCAAAAGGCAGAACAACCCAAATGCCTATCGATGGATGAATGGATAAACAAAATGTAGTATATCCATACCTGGGAATATTATTTCACATTTCATAAAAAGTAATGACACACTGACACATACTACATACAACATGGATGAACCTTGAAAACATGATACTGAGTGAAAGAAGCCAGACACAGGCCACAGAGTGTATGATTCCATTGATACGAAATGTCCAGAACAGGCAAATCCATAGAGATAGAAAGCAGATTGGTGGTTGTCATGAGCTGGAGGAGGGGAATAAGGAGTGACTGCTGATGGAGGTGCGGTTTCCTTTTGGGGTGATGAGAATGTTCTAGAACTAGCTAGTGATGAAGATTGTACATTATGAATGCACTAAACGCCATTGAATTGTTCACTTTAAAATGGTGAATTTTATATTATAAATTTCACCTCAATTTCTGAAAAAAGCTTTATGTGCACAATAAGAAAAAAAACAAAGGAGGAGAAGAAGACAGCCTGGCAGGCCTCAGGCCATGGCCGGGGGTGAAAGGCTGACGGTGCAGTTGAGCCCCCAGCCTCCCTGCCCGAGGCCTCTTCTCACCCACCTCTGCTTTCTACAACCCAAGGTCCCTGGACAAGCCTAGGCCACCCCCACCCTGGTCTCCAGATGCAACCTGCTGGGAGCCCCAGACCAGAGCCACATCCAACAGAGGGAGAGGTGGTACACCCAACCCCTCCTGCACCTTCCCACAGGACCAGGGTTCCAGGCGGGTGGTGGCTCTGCGGTCCTGGCAGAGGCTATGGAGGGCAGGCCCAGGAGGTAGAACACCAGGCCCCAGCACCTGGGTCCTATCGTCTCCATGGGTAGACACTCTGATTCCCAAGCCATCCCTTGAGACCCAGGTACTGTCTGTATAGAGAAGCATTTCTGAGGATGTGTCAAAAGCTTAACATGCACAAGTGATAATGGGAGACCCCCCTGAGTGTCTGCACACCCCCACTGTAGCTACTGGGGGAAACCCAGAGCATCCTGGAGGGTGGATGAGCCTGGCCCAGCCCTGGGGCTGAGCTGCCTGAGGCCATGCCTCCTTGCTGAGGCTCCCAGGGTTGGGTGAAAGCCCTCTGCACTTACCAGGGACCGCTTGGCTTCAGGCAGGAACTGTCCGAACTCGGAGAGCAGGTCCTCCTGGCCCCGGAAGAGGTTGGCAACCTCTGTGAACACCTCTTCTTCGGACATGCCTCGGAACGGCCGGCCTTTTGTGTTCAGCTGCTCCTTCTGTTGGTTTTCGGGAAAGAGAAGATGAGTGGTTAGCCAAGAAACAAGGCACCCGGCCTGTGATGTTCAGGCATCCCACCGTGGAGGAGACAGAGGGACGACTCATGAGGAAGAGAACCTGCTGGTGGAGCCGACAAGAGTCCTGGGTGCTGGCGACCAGATCCCATTGCAAGACACAGCCTGTGGCAGGAGTGTGGAAGGGACAAGGGGAGGGGTGTGTTGTGTCCACGAACTGAGGGAGTGGGGGGGTGCGAGGCTGGCTGAAATCAGGGGCAGGCCAGGGAAGTGCAGGGTCAGAGGTGAACTGAAAGCCCTCCCAAGGGCAAGGCAGAGTGCAGAGCTGGCGTGGGGCCATGAAGGAGGGGGTGAAGAGCAGAGGGAGGAACTTCCAGGCCAAGGGACCCGTGGGCCACAGTCACCAAGACACGAGATGTTGAAGGAAGACAGCCTGACATGGAGCTTACAACAGTAAGAGGAAGACCAAGTGGACCCAGGTTGGAGGGCAGGAACTGGCCAGCAAAACTGAAGCTGACCATCAGAAATAGGTCCCTGTCTACTGTACACCGGAGAATGTCACAGAGCAAGGAAGAGGCAGCAGCGCCGAGGCCCTCCCAGAGCACAGGGAACAGCTGTTAATGTTCCCGCTCAAGGCTCCAAATGGAAAGAACCACCCTGCCCTGCCCGGCTGCTATTCCGAGGGAAGTGAGTCACCTGTAGTACCTGTGCGGGAGGGAAGAAAAGAGAAACCAACCACCCCTCCTAAAAGTCACCCGATGGGGCCAGCCCGTGGCTCACTCGGGAGAGTGCGGTGCTGATAACACCAAGGCCACGGGTTCGGATCCCATATAGGGATGGCCAGTTGGCTCACTGGGTGAGCGTGGTGCTGACAACACCAAGTCAAGGGTTAAGATCCCCTTACCGGTCATCTTTAAAAGCTCACTGGCTGAGCGTGGTGCTGACAACACCAAGTCAAGGGTTAAGATCCCCTTACCGGTCATCTTTAAAAAAAAAAAAAAAAAAAGTCACCCGATGCTTGCAGGCCAAATAAAAAATGAGCAGAGGCCACCTGATTCAGAAGATAAATACAGATGAAACAATGACCAAACTGACCAAAATTTAAACGAGTGAATGTGTGGGCGTGTGTGCACGTGGGTGGCGTGGCTGGCCAGTATGTGGATCTGAATCCTTGACCTTGGTGTCATCAGCACCACACTCTAATCAACTGAGCTAACTGGCCAGCCCAGGAACACAATTTCAAACAGCACAACAGCCGTCTCTCACTCATCAGATGGACACAGATGAAAAGGGCTGGTGATTTCTTTTTTTTTTTTTTTCTTTCCTTTTTGTCTTTTTTCGTGTCCGGCAACGGATTGCAACCCTCAGTGTCGCGCCCGTACCGGACCGGGACCGGCAACGGGATCGCAATCCTCGGTGTTGCGCCCGCACCTCGCTCAGCCAGTGAGCGGGAACCGGTCTGTATGTGGGATCCGAACCCTCGGCAGGAGCGCAGCCGCGCTTCCCAAGCGGCGCACTGTAGCAGTGCGCCACCAGGCCGGCCCCTGGGCTGGTGATTTCTAACGAGGACATGGAACCGGGTGCTCTCAAACACAGAAGGCAGGAAGGAAAATGGGTGCCACCTTGCAGAGGGAAATTTGGTGACATCTATTTACATGTCATGAGCGTACACCCTCAACTTAGGAACACACCTTCTGGGCATTCATCCTGGTGGGACAGTTCTGCTGTAACACTTGTTTTGAACACGCAAATCTACTTGAACATGAGATGTGTGCTAGGAAACAATTTGAGCACAATGTGATTTTTGTGCTTGCGTAATATGCACTAATTTATCCAGAAGAAACACTGGGTGAATCACAGAAAACTGCACCCGGCTGACCAGAGCCATATGAAACCACACCCGTACCCCCCACCAACACCTATGGGTCCCCCCAGTGCCTGGCTGTGCTAGCAGCCACCCTGTGTCTGACTGAGGTTACAATGTCCCATCCAATTTCAGACGACCTCCTCCCAGCCCTTCACGTATATCGCAGGCTGCCACCTTCCAACAGCCAAGGCCACAAGGTAACCTCAGGCCTCTTCCAAGGTCAGTACTGTATTTGCTGTAGTGTTCATGTACTTCTTACCCACTTAACATGTGCACAATGGCACTACCGTTTTGAGCAGGTTCCTGTTTTTACTTAGGTGCCACTGAGGAAGTCCTTGAGCATTGTGCCCAGACCCTGTTTTCCCATGAGCCCTGTGGTCTGACTGTGCCGTTCTGTGGAGAACAGAGTCCTTCACAGGAATACCCAAGTTGGGTCAGGGCAGGACTGGCTGTGCTCCTCCGAGCACACACAGGACACATACAAAATTGTACAATGGGTAACAGATGCCCAGGGGTGACCTGAGGCAGGCACTGTGCATGAATTAACTACCTCCATTAACTTCATTTAGGCCAGGGGCCAGTGGGCACCGCAAGCATTATGGCCATTTTGCAGATAAGAACCCCGAAGTTCAGGGAGGTGAAGGCAAGGAACTCAGGTCTGAAGGGAGGCCCCAGGGACATCGAAAATAGTAACCTGCAACCAAATTTACCCCAGAGCTGCTTGGTCAGTGTCTTTTAAAAATCTGAACCAACAATTTAAAATCAGGATAATTCACATAAAAATTCAAGAAACAGCCTCAGGTTGGAGTCACCAGGAGTCTTGTTTAGAATGAGGGGGCCAGGTAGGACCTGACAGATTGCAGCCCTGGGGGAAGGCCCAGGTATCTGCATTTCCAACCAACTACAGTGTTTGGGTTGAGGGACACTGCGTCATCCATTCCCCCACCCCCTGTGCTCTCTGAGTAAGTCCCTGACAGCCCATTGCTGCGATTTCGGGTAAATGAGCCTCTAACTTCTTTGCCTCCCCCTTCCCCTTCAACAAAACAGACACTGCACAGCCTGCTCTCTGAGGATCCTTGTAGCCTGACCATGTGACACCCTGTGAAGCCTGGGAGGGAGCCGTACACCCCACCATCCCAAGCAGCATCGCTCCCTACAGATCACATGCTCACAGCTGCCACCCATGACTGCTCATCTGTGGGAAGCAGGAGTTCTGAAGGCTGTACCAACACCTTGAAGATGGATGCTGAGACTGCACGTCACCCATGGCGAGGATGGCAAACATCTGGTCCATCAAAACGGCCTCACTGAGTTCACAGGAAGCAAAATGGCCTCACTGAGTTCAAAGGAAGCAAATGCCATCGATCCGATCTCAAACACTTACGATAAAAGAATCTCACTTCTTTACTTGACATATAAAAGTTGTGCAGACTTCATTTATAAAAGTGGGTTCTGTTGCTTAAAAAAATAAGCACCAAGAACTCCACGTGGGGGTGAGGATGATGTCTGAGTCCTGCACACGACATAGGTGTCCCTTGCCACTGGCCCACCTGTGTTTCCCAAGTCCCCCGCAGAAGCCCTGACGCTGACTGTCTGCTCTGCCCCTGGACCTTTGCACAGGCATTCCTGGCACCAAGTCCACCCTTCTTCTGTGCCTGTCTGCCTAATGGCTCTGCCTGATTTGTCAGGATTCAACCTGACCACCCCCTCCCTAAGCCCAGATGGGGTTGGTAACCATGAACCCTGCCTCACCTCTCCTATACACATCCCCTCTTTTCCACCCCAGTCTTCCACCACTGGACTTAACTCTCAAGCAGTGACAACCATTCCCCTTTGTCACCCCAGTTCCTGGTGCTGAACCCAGTTGTAATCAGCAGAAATAAAGTGCTTGTAGTTGTACTGCCTAAGAGATAACGAAGTCGCCTTGTGAAAAGCAGACTGTCTTCTTAGGTTCTTTTTGAATTCCCCTCATGTGCGCATCCTAGTACTTCCTGGGTGCAGAGGTGTGTCAAGGAACAAAATAAAAACAAAACTAAATGGACCTCCAACAAGCACCTATACATCCACGTTCACAGCAGCATTATGTACAACAGCCAAAAGCTGGAAGCAATCTAAGTGTCAGCTTATGGATTAATGGATAAATAAGATGTGGTAGATGCATACGACCAATTATTATTCGGCCCAAAAAAGTAGTTAGTCCTGACACATGCTGCAACACGGATGAACCTCGAGGACATCATGCTCAGTGAAATAAGCCAGACACAGAAAGACAAATATTGTGTGACTCCACTTATAGGGGTGCCTAGAATAGGCAAATTCATTGAGATAGAAAACAGAATGGTGTTTGCCAGGGACTACAGCGAGGAGGGAAATAGGGAGCGAGTGTTTAATGGGGGGACTTTCAGTTTGAGAAGGTGAGCAAGTTCTGGAGATGTATGGTGATGACGGTTGCACAGCAGTGTGGAAGCATTTAATGCATTCTGAATTAATGCCACCGAATTGTGCACTTAAAAATGGCTAAAATGGGGGCCGGCCCGGTGGCGCACTGCTACAGTGCGCCGCTTGGGAGTGTGGTGGCGCTCCCGCTGAGGGTTTTTTTTTTGGCATTAGTTTTTCTGTTTAATGTGGTAAAATATATATAACATAAAACTTACCATTTTAGCCTTTTTTTTTCTTTTTTTCCTTTTTTTGTCTTTTGTCATGTCCGGCAACGTATCGCTACCCTCAGTGTCGCGTTTTTTTTGGCATTAGTTTTTCTGTTTAATGTGGTAAAATATATATAACATAAAACTTACCATTTTAGCCTTTTTTTTTCTTTTTTTCCTTTTTTTGTCTTTTGTCATGTCCGGCAACGTATCGCTACCCTCAGTGTCGCGCGCGACACTGAGGGTTGCGATCCGTTGCCGGACATGACAAAAGACAAAAAAAGGAAAAAAAGAAAAAAAAAGGCTAAAATGGTAAGTTTTATGTTATATATATTTTACCACATTAAACAGAAAAACTAATGCCAAAAAAAAAAAAAAAACCCAAAAGCCCACTAATCAAAATGTCATGAACTCAGACAAGAAAACCTGAACACCTCCAGTGCACCTGATGGTGGAAAATGCCAGAAAAACCCACGAAGAAGTCAGACTTGAGGCCCCTTACCTGGTAAGTGTGCAGTATCTCTAGGAACGACCTGTAGATTTCTGGGTGGTCTAGAAAGCGGGTCTTAATCTTATTCACATAGCTGATGGCGTTGTTGAATTCCACGGAATCAGACTCCAAGGGCACCTGGGGTTTGTCCTCCTTATACGGCATCTGTTGCTTGAAGTCCTCTGCACAGTCACTGTGGTTGTGTGAATTCTCCTGACAACGACAGACAGTGAGTTACCGCAGGACCAACATGGGGACAGACTGTGAAAAATGCCAGGCCCAGCCGCTGTCTGCATGAGAGCAGACAAAACCCAGCAGACAGCCAAGTTTTTTTTATGAGATGCAGAGAAAGGTCACTTCAGGGGGCCTGGAGGGATGCAAGCGGGCCGGGCACACAGAACGTGCAGATGGCTCCTGACTTGGTGCCTGAGTGTCTGCGCACCCTTGGGGCACTCCTGGCCGAGTCTCACCTGCTCACCTCCGCCCAACCCTTCTGAATCTCTTCAAACAACAGGCAAGTTTAAGGAGCACTTTACATTTGGAGAAATTAGCATTTGGGAGAAATTTACAAAAAGTGATGTTTAAACATTTTTAGAGCCAAGTTTTGGGCTATGTATGAAAGACGGCTTCCCACACCTTCTGTGGCCCCATTTCAGCAAGATTGTTTTCAGGCGCAAAACTACCTGTTGTCAGCAGCAATGGGAAAGTCAGGACATAGATAATGGGGACCCAGATGCCAGGGACTTGGGAGATTCCTGGGAGGGACATGAGACTTTGGGTGCTAAGCCCTCGCCAATTGGAAAAGGGACATCAGTCACTTGAAAGAAGAGAGATGGGCCCTGACCACCCATCAAGCATTGCCCTCTATTTGAGTACTTTTCTGTAAATACAAATAAAAATAGAAAACAAACGTCTTTCGCCCACGCTACAGAATCCTAACTCGTGGTGGGACAGGACCACCCCCTGAAGGTGATGTTATGTTTTTAACCTGGAATTATCCCACACAGACCCAGGCACACAGGGGCTGGTTCTCCAGCAGCTCGGGATCCCTCCAGCTCGGCTCGAGGTCTTTGCTGGGACACCACATCCTAGGCGAGTCTTCCAGAACCATCTTGCATCTAAGTAAAACGACTCTGTCTTCCAGCACCCCTGAGTCCCTTTCTTGTTCTAGCTTCCTCCACGGCACGTATTACTGCCCTACGTGTGACAAATTTTACTTATTTCATGGTCTGTCCACTCTGACCAGATGGTAAATGGCCTGAACATCATGTCATTCAGGGCTGTATCCTCAGCCCATGGGTCAGTCCTTGGACCACAGTGGGCCTCATCTGCTGTCGGGGATGATCGGGTGAACGGATGAAGGGACAGACGGACCTGCCTACTGTTTCCATTGCCTGACAATGCACCTGGCACCAGTCTCTGGCCTGTAGAATCCACCGGGGCGAGCCAAGCCAGGAGCACTGCTGCCCCCTGCTGCTGAGCTGTCATCGCACACTGTCACCTGGATTGGTGTGTTAGCCAGGCTGCCATAACAAACTACCACACACTGGGTGGCTTCAACAACAGAAATTAATACTTCTTACAGTTCTGGAGGCTGGGAGTCTAAGGTCAAGTTGCCACAGGCTTGGCTCCCACCAAGGCCTCTCTCCTGAGCTTGCAGGTGACGCCCCCTCACTGCATCCTCACAGAGACTTTCCTCTAAGCATGCCTGTCCTCATCCCTTCTCATAAGGACAGTCAGACTGGATTAGGGCCCACCCTAGTGGCCTCGTTTTACCGTAATTACCACTTTAAAGACCCCATCTCCAAATACAGTCACATTCTGAGGTCCTGGGGATACAGGGCTTCAACACAGGGACTGGGGGCACAGTTCAGCCTGGAACAGTGGGCACAGAGACAACTCTAGAAAATCTAAGCTGAGGAGAGCAGAGATGCAAGGTCCGGAGCGGCCACGACTCTCGACACAAGGTCCGGAGCGGCACGACTCTTGACGCCTGCTCCTCAGCAGTGGGATTCACCGTGAGGCTCTCTGGGGGCGCCCTTGGCGATCTCTCTGCTCAAGCTGATGGGGGTCTGCGCTCATGCTTGTTTGTGGCACACAGTCTTGGCGGTGGAAGGAGCTGGAAGGAGCCAAGCGGGGTGGGGGGAAGCAGACTTGGGGCCCAATTGTGGCTCAGAGGAGGCTGTGGGCTCACCTGAGTCCCCGCCACTGCAGGGTGGCATTCTGAAGCTTCCCATGTCTCAGCTGGTCCCCTGAAGTGAGCCACTGTGATGAGATGGAGGGCCACCCCCTAGAGCAACACTCAGCACAAACTGTGAAATAGCCTGGCAGCCCCTCAGCAGGTTTAACACAGAACTCCCACGTAAGCCAGCGATCCCACTCCCAAGCATCAACCCCAAACCGAAAACAGGTGTGCACACACACCCTTGGACATACGTGTCCGCAGAAGCACTATTCCCAGTAGCCAGAAGGTGGAAACGACCCAAACGTCCATCAACAGATGAATGGATAAACAGTGCGCCCGTCCATACAGTGGGGTATCACTCACCCATCACAAGGAATGAAGCTCTGACTCACGCTACCACGTGGACAAACCCTTGAACACATTACACCAAGGGAAACAAGCCAGACACAAAAGGCCATGTAGTGCGCGATTCCATTCACATGAAATGTCCAGACAGGCAAATCCATAGAGATAGACAGCAGACTGGTGGTGGTCAGGGGCTGGGCGGGGGGAGAATTAGGAGGTAGAGAGTTTTGGGGTGATGGAAGTGTTCTGGAATTGGTGGTGACAGCTGCAAAATATTGTGAATATACCAAAAATCACTGAATAGTACACTTTAAAATGGTCATGATGATGTATTTTATGTTAAGTGAATATCATCACAATTAAAAAAAAAAATTAATGTAATCCTTGGAAAATGTGAAAACCACCAGCTACACAAAGCCAAGCTAGTTTGGGCCACAGGCCACAGTAAGCGGACCCTGCTCTAAACCTTCTGGAACAAGCCGGGTCTTTTCTTTCTCTGCCTGCACTCCTTCTCTCCGCCCTGGGTGGCCTTGTCCGGGCACAGTTAGCAATGCCTCCTACACACTGGTGAGCCGTTCTGCACGGCCGATGCCTCCACCCACGCAGATGTCTCCAGTGGGTGACAACACAGAGCAGCCCCCACTGCCTCCAGCCTCGCTCACCTCAGCAGGGGCTGCCACCTTTACCAGATGATCAGGCATCCCAAGACCACCCCAGACTTCTCACCCTGACACCCCACCCCTGGCTCTTGTCACTGTCTACTGCCTTCCCATCTCACAGGGCCCCTCCCTGGTCCCCATCACTGCACAGGCACCCCAAGAGCTGGGATTCTGAATAAACCCCAGGGCCTGACTCACAGCAAGTGGCCGCTGACTGCTCTGTGAGTCAGTAAGACACAAGCATGAGAACCCACCTGTCAGGAGCCAAGAATCGAAGGTGGGCCTCCCTCTGAATTCAAAGGGGCCACTTATATCATAAGCTGCACCATGAAGGTCTCTCTCTCTGTCCAAGCCGGCTGCTGCTTCCAAAGGCAGGGTCTGTCCTGAGGAGGACCTGGGGACCGAGTCATCACTTTCCCACCACCCTCCAGTTCCTTGTTCCTCCCCCGCATGCTGCTCCCCTGGCACCATCCTGGCACATGGATACAGTCCTGGACAAGAGGGACGATGGTCCCATCTCACCTTAAGGACTCACTGTCTGCCAGGGAGGACAAACCAACACAAAACAATGGAATCTCAACTTCCATTCCTGGCTTTGTTATTTTGAAATCTATAACCAAGAGTGGTGTGAGAATGACATTGAGGTGGACTTGGTGGGGGTGGGGTGGGGGTGGGGGTGTCTCTGTGGAGGTGACCAAATCTGAAACACCACTGACTCGGGAGGCCAAGGCCCCAGCAGGAGGACGTTCCTTCTTCCAAGTGCCCCGAGCCTTGCTGGTTACACATCACGGAGTGTCTCTATTCCCCTTTAGACTTGTGTTCTCAACTGGGGTGATTCTGTCCCCAGGGGACACGTGGCACCTTTGGGAGATGTTTTAGGTTGTCACACTGGGGGAGGGGTGCTCCTGGCATCTGGTGGGTGGTGGCCAGGGACGCTGCTCAGCACCCTGCAATGCCCAGGACAGCCCCTCAGCAGAATGACCCAGCCCCTGCCTGGCAATAGTGCTGAGGTTGAGAAACCCCACACAAAAGGCACCCCAGAGGCTAAGAATCTCTTATTTATCTTCCTGGGCACCTGAGAGCCACTTCTTCCTTGTGTGGAGCTGGCAGCTTGGTGACAAAATAAAAAATGGAAAAAAAAAAAAAAATCCAACAACAAAGCTGTACAACAAAGCTGTACTTCAAAGCCTTGAAGCTAGAAAATCCAATAAGAACCCCCACCAAGGCATTTGCGTGTGGGGAGCCTTGTAAGGTTTTCAGGCTGTGACGGCCTCTCAGAGGACTCCAGGAAGCTGAAAGGACACCTTGCATGTGCCTGTCGTGAAGCCACACAAGGAACAGCCTAGACTGTGGAGAAGTGGGACTGGAAACCTGACAGGTCTGTCTGTACCAGAAACTGAGTGGGCTCAAGGGAGCCCTGCAGGGAGCCCACCTTCCAGCTGAGCAAAGAGAGCCCAGACGTGCTGCTTCCAGGCTGCAGCCAGAGCACAAAGCCCTGTGCAGCAGCTATTCAGCGACCGTCCCAGCAAGCCTTTCTGCAAGCTAGTGGACCTTCCTCATCCCTTGAGCCACCTGGGAGAGGGGGAGATGGGATTGCCTCTGGTCTTGCCTTCTGGACCAGAAGGGGCTCCCAGCTGTGTAAGGGAAGAGCAGCTCTGAGTCCAACCACAGTGCAGTTCCTGTCAAAGCCAAGTGACTCCCATGGTTGGGGATTGCTGAAGGCAATTTCCACACCCAGAGGGCACAATTTAGGTCTTTGGACTCCTTTCTTAGCGAGGCTGGGAAGGACGCGGGCATTCACGAAGCACTCACACAGCACACGCAGACTCTACAGAGCACTCTCCAGGATGTCGCTGCAGCAAATGAGCTTGGTTTCTCAACCCAGCCATGACTGTCCCAGAGATTAATCTCGCCAAGGCTTTTAGGGTCTGGCTGCCTGAGTCCTACATCCGGATCTTGGGGCTCCACTGGCAAATGGGAAATGGAATCTCGTGGAAATTCAGCGGCCACCGGCTTCCAAGTTCCCTTCTGAAACTGATGCACTCCTCTGCTTTAATGAGACAAGGTGGTGGTGGTGGAACTTGCCTTGCAGAGATGAGAGGCAGAATTACCACGCGAGCCACCCTAGGGTGGGGGGTACCGGTCACTGCCACATTACCTCTCATTGTTCTCTTTCCAAATCCCAATTCTCTAATTGATCCAACACTCCATAATCTCCTCCATGGCAGGAGAGGCCTACAAAAAATTCCAGCAGATTCTATACTCCCTGCTAAAATTCTCAGGGAAAGGACCACAGGAGGTTGGGAAAGCTGGTTCACTTACAACAGTGCTCTGCAACAGGGGTGACTCTGTCCCCAGGAGACGCTTAATGTCTGGAGACATTTTTGGCTGTCATGACTGGGTGACAATCTGGTGGGCGGAGGCCAGAGATGTTGCTAAACATCCCACAACACACTGGACAGCGCCCCCCAAACAAAGAATTATGCCCTAACTAGCCACCATGCCGAGATGGAGATTAAGATGGTTATAAAAGTGAAGCTGAAACAGGCTTCCCTTTTCTTAGGGTCAGATGAGCTCACACAAGAAGGGACTGCAGAGACAGAGGAAACAGCATCTGTCACCCAGAAAGAAGGAACCACAGCCACAAGCCTGAGCTAAGCCAATGACCCTACCAGCAATTAAATGAAGCCCAGCAACAATAAAAATAGCTCTTTGCACATGCATTTCAGCCACCTTATTTCACTGGTGGCACCAAGAGTGATCCGATGCAGACGAGCACAAGCCCAGTACAAGGGTAAGCCTGCTGGGACACTCACTGTGAAGGCCTCGAGCCCAGACCTCTGCACCTGTTATGCGGTTACTTGGATTCAACATATAACTCTGTGTTAGAAGAATTGCCTCCCTGACATCCACTCTTTTTTAGGTCTTCAAAACAGATCGATTTGGGCTGCAAAGGCTGCCTGTGTAGGTGTTTCAATCTATTTTGATTTGGGCTAGAAGCGATTAGCATGTCTAGGAAAAGAATGGACCTTATACAGCTTTCTGGCAATGACATAAACAAGACATGCTGCTCAACCTGAGCACCTGGGTAGCAGGGTTTGCTGTGTGAAGGCCAAGAGCACCCAAACCACTGCAGCAGCATACCTGGTTCGTCAGAGGAGACTGTATGTTTAACTTGCCGTTCTTTGGAATGTCAATTCTGTATCCAAGGGGAAGGAAAGCATTGAATCCAACAATAAGGTCAGGGTGTTCGTGGAAGAGCTGAGAGACGCGTCTGATGACTCCAGGAGTATCAATGCTGGAAGAGAGAACACAAATGAGCAAAAGGGTCTTGAAGAGCAAATTAAAAGTGAAATCTACTCCCGCCTCCCTTGGTATGGCCACATAACAGGCTTCTCAGCTGGCAACAAAGCAACTTAAAACGTGACTGGCATGATATCTGCTGACAACAATCTACTTCCAAAGCAGCTAGGCCTGGGCTCCCGGTGCCATCCTGGCGAGAATGACAGAATATTTACACAGCACAGCTACCCAAACACTCCAAACACATGCACCAGGTTCTGAAAAATGTCAGGAGAGCTGACTACAAGTACTAGACTCCGAAAAGTGGCAGGAGGCCAAAGCCCTCCAAGCAATGTGATAAACTCTCTCACTTTGTATGAATTAAGGATGACTGGGACACAGGTTTTGATCTGAGCAACTGACTACAACGCATAAATACCAGGGGCCCTGGAAGTATGGTAAACACATAAGAACGCGAGGGGAGAGATGGGGTCTTCCTCCTGGCTGCAGTCAACAGTGCAGGCCTTAGCACCACGCTCCTGGAAGGAACCAGGCCAGCCCCACCATGGTTCCAAAGAGGGGACAGCAGCATGGTAGGGGTGTGACCTGCAAGAATCGAAGTCTGAGGGTCTCAGTTTTAGACCCACCACTGCCACTAAGGTGGGTCTCAACAAGTACCTTACCCACTCTGAGCCTCCTGTAAAACAAGAGCATGATCCTGAGGTTTCTCACCTATCTCCAACCCTCCTGATTCTGTGCTTACAAAACCAGCTCATGTGTTTTAAACGCTTTCCACGTGCCAGGTCCCTTACTAAGCGATTTATGCACCTTACTTCCGAGCAGGCCTGGAACTAACAAGGAGCCAAATGAGGCACCTTGGGGACAAAATTTAAGGGGAGAGGGGGGCAAAATTTAAGGGGGAGGGGACAGTGCTAAAAAACTTAATCATCAAGACAAACAACATGTTTATATAGTGCTTAAGAAAAATACCAAAATCAATCCCCCCCAACCTTTCATGAACAAAACTTACTTAAAAATCAACATCTGAAATAAAGACAGGATCCCACTCTGCGTGTACCCGACTCTACCCCTTGTCCCTGCCCTCCTTCCAGGAATCCCCAGGACAGCTCCACAAGGTTGGGTACTACCATTTCCATTTTTTTTTTTTTTTTTTTTTAGGAGGAGCTGAGGTTCCCAGAGGTTCGACAACCTGTGCAAGGTCACCCAGCTGGGGGGCGGAGGGGAAGCAGGTGGAATGCGGGGCAGGGGAGTAGGTGGAATTGGGGGGGTCTCACTCCGCTCCACCCGACTCCGGCCCAGGGGGTCCAGGGATGGGCAGGGCCCCGCGGGTACCTCTGGCTTTTGAACTCCTTCATGATCTCCAGGAAGCCGTTGTAGGTAGCGGGGTCGCTGCCGAAGCGGATCTTCACCTGGTCCAGGTAAGTGAGGGCGTCCTCCACCTACGGGGGGAGGGCGGGTCCCAGTGGGCCGGGGTCGCGGGAAGAGAGGACGGGGGGCTGGGTCCCTGGGGGGGACAGGGACGGGCCGGTCCCTCGAGGGGACAAATGAGGGGACAGGGGGTCCCGGGGCCGCGCAGAGCGGAGGCCGAGGCGGGGCCGGGCGGGGCCGGCGTAAGGGGCCGGCATAAGGGGCGCCGGCCTGTGGTGACCGGAGGACGGGGTCCCCGAAGGAAGGGCGCCACTCACGTGCACTGGCAGCTTCTCGTGGCCCGCGGAGCCCGAGC